GGCGGATGATTGGACTTGAAGTACATGTATTAGTTGAATGTATACAGGTAGCCTGCACTGGCTAATACAGGCTTATCGTTGGGCTTTCAGTACGGATAGTGTTTACCAGTATTCAAGTTGAGAGTCACATCTAGATAGTTGACTACCTTCCGGTTTGTCTCGATCGTAATACGGAGCCCCAATTCGTTAAATGTTTTAATCATCCTTTTCCTAGTGCGATCGGCCTCACTCCCATTACGTATCCCTCATATCATCCATTAGATCTGTGTGATATTGGCCTTCATTCGTGTATCGCGTAGAGAATGACAATCTAAGTGCCAAGTATCGCGCATGATCTGATTCATAATGATTAGTCTTAGGTTTTTATTATCAGTCGTCTGATGATTGCAGTGGCATGAAACTTTGAGTCAGGACAAATCCAAACTGGACCTATTTCTCTTTTCCGTGTGAAACGCTCTGCGCTTTGCACTTTGCCGGCAATTGCCAAAATTACTCCTTTGTAGATAGATAGATAGATAGATACAAATATTACACAGCAATGAATCAAACAAGTCTCATTCCGCTGTAACTCCGAGTTTCGTGTCAAAACACTTCACCAGACAGCATTATTTGTATTACTTGCTCTGTCCAGTGGGCATTGAGCACTGTAAGCAGCCTAGGGACTTTAGACAACTGTCTAGATAGATAGATAGATAGAGATAGATAGATAGAGAGAGAGAGAGAGAGAGAGAGAGAGAGAGAGAGAGAGAGAGAGAGAGAGAGAGAGAGAGAGAGAGAGAGAGAGAGAGAGAGAGAGAGAGAGAGAGAGAGAGAGAGAGAGAGAGAGAGAGAGAGAGAGAGAAAGAGAGAAAAAGACAATTATAAATAGATAGATAGATAGATAGATACAGTCATGTAGATAGATACCGTAGTGACGCACATAAAGGCACATGCGCTTATGAGTGAGTTTTTGTGTTATTTGCTATTTTTTGCGGGTCGGTTTGTCTCACACATAGGCGCATGCGCTTGAGTTGCTAGTGTACAGGTACCTTGCATAATTATGCACATAGTGCAATACCGCAATGCACATTGAACTTTGCGAACATGATGTTTTTGTGGTGTCAGTGTGTCGTGGGATGGAGTGCATTTAGGTTCACTTATAAGCCCATGCGCTTATTTCTGAGGGTCCGCTTATGTCCGGGTATAGGCACATGCACTTATATGCGCGTCACTACGGTAGATATATAGATAGAGGGAGAGAGAGAGAGAAAGAAAGAGAGAGAGAGATAGAGAGAGAGAGAGAGAGAGAGAGAGAGAGAGAGAGAGAGAGAGAGAGAGAAAGAGAAAGTGTACGCTTCTCATTGGCTGAGAATTCGAAAGAAACGAGAAGCAAACTCTTGCAATGTGACTGTCCGCAGCCGACCCTGTACTGTAGGTTTGCTGTTGCAAATGTGAGGTGTGAGAGAGAAGAGACAATTATAGAGAGATAGAGAGATAGGTAGAGATATAGAGAGATAGGTAGATAGATAGATAAATAGATAGATAGTTATATCTCTGGCAAGGTACGTTCGGGCCTGATTGGAAATTTTTATTTCCATTGCTATCAGTTTCGGCCTCATTTCCTCTGTGCTGCGCTGATGAGTTCAAAAAGAACGAAACAGCATGCTGTCCGCAGATTGAGTAGATAGATAGTTAGATAGATAGAGGGAGAGAGAGAGAGAGAACAGGTAAGCAACAGTTTTCGTCCCTTGATGGTGTACATCCACCGTCCCTGCCTGCGCTGTCCAGCTGGCCACAAGCCAAGTTCATCAGCCAGGAACAAAACAACTCCAGTTCAGGCACTGGTCCTGCAGATAGCCGTTTCGGTCTTACAAGTCACATCAGTGAAGTTTTCCATGTGATTGTGAGATCTTCGGAGAAGCACTGTTTCTATGCTGGTAGTGGCTGAGAATTATAGCATGAGCGCATAGCACACTCTGGTATATCCGTTAGTGCTAGACTAGGAGAATACTACGTAGAAGCTCACACCAGAACTGAAGATACTGTGGCAGAGATGGCAAGGGGCAAGATCATAACACTACACAATGAAATGAAATAAGGTGCCACTCGCATAGTACTGAGATAGAACAATAGCGCAATGGTGCAGGTAGCAGCGCGAGAGCTCAGGCCGAGTAATGTTAGCATCACGCCTGCCAACCATCACAATTTGGCTGGGACCGTCCCGATATTGAGGGTGGTATAGAACAAATAATAGGCACCCAGTAGTACATTAATTTTGTCCCATGCCTCACAGCTACATTCGTATACATTTTCATACCTACAGTAGGTATGTCGTTGTCCCGATCTCAGGTTTGCCATGGTTGGCTGGTATTTAGCATATTTGCCCAGGAGGCCGCTGAGCCTTCTTACCCAGCTTCTCTGCTTATCAGAACTCTGCCATGAAGCCTCCTCGCCAGGAGAGGAGAGGAACTGTGTTCAGGTTTCGATTGGTCCAGCCGCACCAAAGTCTTTCAATGACTTTCATACATGTACTTCTTTGTCACTGTGTATGATATGGCGGGGACACATAACCCAGGGGCGGATCCAGGATTTTTCCAAGGGGGATTCAAATCACCTCCGAAGTAAACATGCTTTTGGTGACCAAGCAGTTGGTTCGGTCATGGCCTGACCAACTGTACCGGTTCCGTCGTCTCTGGCCGACATCCCAGGTCATGAATGACACGAGACCCTGGCAGAGAGAATGGCTTTACCCCGTGCAATCAATGTTTCATGCCCTGGACCAACGTAAGAAATGACTTGCATGACTGTACATATTGCCGGCTTGTTTGGTACGGACAGCTTAATTACGCATGTGGCAAAGTGAGTACGAATGTAGCAGCCCCATTGTTAGCATATTGGGTTTAGTCAAGGAGGATTCAATAGCGACGGTGCAAACATAGTGCGCCTAAGGAGGTGTTTACCTAGAAATTCGGTCCTGTCTTGCATGGAAGCCTAGTACCTCTTTGTAGAATATCCATCTGCTGATACTCATAACATCGTCTGTGTAGATCTTCATGTATATGTCTGATGAAACAGGATCGATTGTTCTTCAGTGATAGATTGGCAATTTACTCGACGTTAAGTTCAAATTGAACTTTGTGCACGCGCGCCTCTCACCCTCCCCCGGTATGCATGTCATAACACGTAGGGAACATGATACATCCATATCTCACAGCTACTCATCTTGTGCTACAGGTGGTTTGGTTTCCTAGGGGTGTAAAGGTGTAATCAAGTCAGGACGATCAAAAGTGCCTCTACAAATCAGTGTTACACTGCATTCTGATTTCTGACAATATACTTATCCGCAGCACATTGACTTGCAAATGACTGTGCCCATTTGTAAGCTGTGTGACGGTACATGTATGATAATTGGTATTCAAAACAGTCACTAACTTAGAAGTACTGAAGTGTACTTCCACTACATTCCAGGTGAGGGTAGACATAACGTTAGGGCAACGCAATCGTGTTCTACTGAGGGTGAATGTGATAGCATTCAATCAACCATGATTAGCTACGATAATTCTGCACACTACCAGTACCATAATCAGAGTGTGACAAACTAGCTACACTGGCTATAGCTATTACATAATACTACCCCTGATCATCATGTACATAGGACTTGGAGCTAATGACCAGAGTCTGATTGAGCAGAAGAAGGCAGTCACAGACCAATCCGGTGCTGGCATCTTGCGCAATCTGGCGACTTCAGGACCTCTCCCCAGAGGTTTGGGCCGTTTTCCGGTTGGAGCAGCTGCTGCGGGCGCCTGGAGGCTGGTGTAGTAGCTGTGACGTTGTCCTACGCCTAGGCTAAGGCGGCGGCGTTGACAGTTGCAAATTGTCATCGACATGACAATGGGAATATGCATTGAATCAGCTAGCTTTGGATCGAAGAGGCTGCGGATAATGTTGGCATTGACATCGATTGCTATTGCTAAAATAGTAATTACCATCGCATAAGAGCAGCATGTTCAGCTTCAAGATAGCGTTAGAGGACCATGCTACGTGCAGTATTGCTGCATGTAGATGCATTACCCCGATTCTTGCAGAGACACATGCATGAACAGAACTCTGTTAAGACAGACTGCTGTTTCATAACTTCGGTCAACAGTAAAGGCCTGATTGTACCAGTCCAAGACCACCCAAGACCACACGCAGTCTGTTGTGAGAATCATGTATGCACCAGCAGACGTCATGTCAAGCTCAACTGGGGCTCGCCAGAAAACTGTGTGATTGATACTCGGCGGCCGGCCATGAATCCACAGCCACGTGAGATCCTACACTGAACATTATGCACTCCCCCAATGGTGTGGTCATTGTCCCCCAAAATCGACGTGCATGTCAGAGCGCTATAATTTGGCGAAGCCCCTGTAGCCAGGAAATGCCGGTGACGTCTGAACTTCTGAAGCACCTGGATATCTTAGTTCGTACAACACAGCAATGTCCAAGTTAGGTACCACCCTCTGTGTGTGAGTCTCTACGAACCTGAACGGGCACAGACAACTCCACCATCACGTGTTACTGTTAGTTTTAATCAACCTCGTACATGTAGCTCGGACATGTAGCTGTTGAAGCTGGCGTCTCATCTATCAATGTCGTGTGAGATTACCCACTGACGTGAACAGCACCAATTAGATCTAGAGACTTGATTGTACTAACACTATTCTGTTATCCTTGCTTCAGACTTCAGTTCAGTGTAATCACGACTACTCCAGTGTCAGTGTACCTGCATTTTAGCCTTTGCCTTCTGACTTCTGCGGAATCCTAGCTTGACAAGCATTCTGTTTGTTCTGCCCCTCTTCTGTCATGCACGCTGCGTGAATGACGTCTGCTCCGCTGCAGTGGCACGCTTCGCTCGGCCCCGTCATGCCTGGTACAGTGCAACTAGTGGCAGACTGCGTGTTCCTGAATCCGGCATGCACACGTCTTTATGGTCGTCCTGCCACCGGCAATGGTATTCCCGTGATTTCACGCGCTCCTGCCATCCGCTCCCGCGCTTCTGCTGGATACCACGCTGCGCTGTCCGCAGATGTGCTGCAGCAAGATTGAAGATCACAGCCTGCACCAATGGCAATGTCGTGTACGCTGAAGTACATGCAGTTGCTAAGCTGTAAGTGTAATTGAACGGAAGCGAGACGTCTCGAACCCTAGGGTGCCCCTCCCGCTGGACGCATAACTTCGTTTGGAGAAAACAGCTCGCGACACGAAAATCACATACTCAATGGGCCCGGGCTCAGATTCTGCCCAAGATAAAAGCAGATGTACATCGAGAAAACTTTGCCAGAACGCAATAAGTGAGTGGCATCGCGGAGTCCTATGTTATGCATGGCAGATGTCGTGGTATCATTGAGGTCTGGGACTACAGCAGTCAGTTTTGAATAAGAACAGTGCAGAAACTACTCGTCACGCCAGTTCGGAGCAGCAGAACCATCAGTTCCCTGGAAGAGATCTACTACGGCCATCAAGCACACCAACGTCTGATCCTGAGGTAAGCTGTGATACTGCTTCTATTATGTTTGTGATGATGGTTCAGGTGGGTCAGGGATGGGAAATCTTCCACTAGAGCAGCAGTATTGCCTGTGATTAAATAGGTACGACAAATAAACAAATCTAATTCAAGTGCCTGCTTTTAACTTGTCTTGGGAAAAGATGATACTTGCTAGTCGTGGCCATAATTATCTCCTTAATGCATACTGATGTCGGGCATGATTCTATTCACTTAATTCCTATCGTGGATAGTAGACCATTTAACCACAGGCACTACAATGGATGCATGTTTTCCGCCATGCTTGCATGCCATAATAACAGTTAGTAGTCGAGGCACCTATGCAGCATTAACACACAACACACCTAACCGTTGTACACAGACACGGGTGAGGACAGCCGGTGAACCGGGAATCAGCATGCATGTATGCACCTCGGTCAACGTGCTGTGGCTGACAATTTCATACACAGCAAGATAGAAGGAATTTGTTGTTGTTTTTCTCTTCCATTCTATATGTAGGCATGTGCACTTTCATAAAAAAAAAAAAAAAAAAAAGATAGCTGGGAATACCTGGGAACCGAGAGCTTTGGAGAGCAATACAGAGATTAGGCTTAGGAGAAGAGAGGCGTGTTCGTGTTGATCAGCTTGCACGCACATGAATACCGAATACAAAGTTCCAGATGGTACTTTGAAGTCGAGTACTACAACATGTTACATGTTACATGGGTATTACTGCACTGAGCAATGCTTTTTGAAGAGCAAAACTAAGTAAACTTACTTATTCGGTGGTTCAGCAGGCAAAGGCATGTGCGATCAGATAATCCTTTTACGTTCACGATGATATCGGCAATAATGCTATGATACTTGATAGAGAGGGACTTCATGCCGAGATGAAGTTTAGCACCTGGTCGGGGAAGTCGACATTCAGAGCAGGATGACGTCATTCACTGTTCCAGGATCCGGTGTCGGAATCCGGAAAGCGCCCAGGGATATGTGAACAACGCATCATGCTCCGAGCGTTCGATTACAGTGTTGTTGTACTTTGGAGGGCGGTTGAATTAAGTCTATCAGAGCAGCACTTGAACAGTCTGCTGCGGCTGCCGTCGCTATATCAGCATACATGTACATGTATATGTACAGTGTAGGTATGCCTCCCTGTGCAGTTTTGCTGGCGCCGTTTGTACCTTGATGATTTGTGGCAATCTTGTGAAAAAAAGTCTAGGTCACCCTTGGCCCTATGAAGTATGATGTTCTTGAGCTGGCTAAGATCACGAGATATACATAATTATGTACATATTCGCTGCCTTGTCATTGAGCATTTGTGCTCGTTTGGATTTGCGAATTCAAATAAAGTATACATACATACATACATACATACATGTATATTATACATGTACATAATTATGTATGGCTCAGAGATACGCAAGTAGAATAAGTTAAAACCGCAGTGGGAACGCACAGAACCGGAGACACTGACACTTGCCAGGGAATAGCATTCCAACGCGTGACGATAGCAACGCTGCCCTCGATCTTTTTTCAACTTTCATCCACGTCAGCAGGTCATTTCCCCATCAAATAATCATGTCATCATGTCATGTGGTTGAAATAATTACTTATGTATCCTCAATGTGGGTGTGCGGCTTCAGGGCCTTGGCCTTGGCTGTTGTACACTGTACTAGTACATGTAGCTACACGGAGATATCGCTCCGAACCACAAGGCATTTCCTTTTGATGCACAATGTAGATGATATGTAGCTAGAGAAAAGGTCTCTTCATGCGATGCATGTACCATGTATACCGGTATACAACTGTTACTACTAACGGTAGACTGGGAATTGGAATTGCTATTATTATAATAATTATACATGTGTGTACAATGTACCCTTACCATGTACGAGCTCGTGCATGGTCCGGCGTGCATGGCTGGTACCTGCGGCTTGGCGTACTATCTCCAATGCACTGTATCTGTTAACCATGACCGTGTATAGCCCTGTGTACTCGTATACATGTACTGTCGCTGTGATTCGTGAAAGGTCCTCTCTTGACAGTTCGCAGTTGAGCTCGTTAGTTGGAGAGAGGCTAGAGCCATTGGAGAGTCTGAAGAAAAATGTCTTCTTTTAAAACACACGCACGCACGCGCACACGGGCACACCTATACACACAACGAGAACAAGGTAGCAACATTGGGATCAAGATGGAACGAAAGGCTGTCTCACCTTTACTGGAATATGTTATACGTACATGCATAGCCCCATTACATTAGAGGATGGTCTACTTGTGCAAAGTCATGCTTCTGCCAGCAATCACTGTATCCCATCAGCCCACTTAGAAGCTCACTGAAGTCCTCCATATCTTCTCAGTATGATGAGGGATCGCTTACGTACATGAATGCTTGGAGGAATACTGAGTTCATAATTATTGGAGGAGAGGTATCTAGGATTTGGTACGGCAATTCCGTTTCTGAGTGTGAATCTGCCTCGTGGTCACATGGTCCCGAGCCCATCGCTGGAGTCCCCCCGAAAATTGATCAGACAATCTACGCCTGAGTCTTTCTGTCAGATGTGGGGTCTCAACAGTTCATTCCAGTGCACTACTAGTGCCAAACATTTGCCACGGGCGACCGGTGCTGGAAGAGCCGTAGATACATGTATAATGTAGGACCACACCTGGCTCTCAGTAGCCATCTTGTGCTACAAAACACACGAGCCTGACCAGGACAGGTTGTATGCATGTTACAGGATAAAGAATGTGAATGGAGATGCATTGCCTTGCATAACATTGTCTGCTAATCACCAGTACATTGTATTTGGCCCAAAGTCAAACACACCTTGATAGGACTACGACTTAGTACAAAGGAAGGTTGAGAGCTGTGAAGAGGATAGTAAACATCTTATTATTATTTGCTTTGAATGACGATGGCACGAATGTGACATGTCAAGCACTTCAGTTTCAGTTCAGTTTCAGTTTTGTTTATTTACGGATTCTCCAGAGGTATATGGATACCTATCATGGGAGTCTCACCAAATCAATAGAATAATGAAAATAAAGTTATGTATGGAGTGAATAGAACTAAAAAATCAGAGAATTTAAGTCAAAGGTGAGGACTTCAACGCATGGCTGCACAGATGATTCCGCCATGGATCCCCACTCTCCATGCAGGCATCGCCAACACGCCATGATCTAAAGCATTAACTTATTACACTGATGACAGTGTAACGGAATGAAAGTATCGTAACATACAGCTTAGAATAATCCCTCCTCTCAGCTTCTCACATAGCAACGCTGGTTAGGCTGGTTTGCGTTACTTCCGTAAAAGGAAAGCCAGCAAACGACCATTACGTGATTCCGCTTGCAGTAGGGTACGGTAGACCCACGTGCGACTCTACAAAGAATGTGGAGCTTGAATTTTGTTGTTGTTATTTCAACCTTCGAGTTCTCATTCGTCCGTCGTCAACGCAAGTGTAATGATTATGTACATCTACTTCAACGTGCATCATCGCCATTATCGTCATCTAGAATTTGTTGATGCTATCTTTATTTGATAAGTCACAGTACAAGGTAGTGGTAGATTTTTCTTGTGACCAGACGAGACCATACAACGCTTGCAGGCACCAGCATAAACAGTTCACCAGCCACACTCCACGACAGCTATCCAGAAATAAAGATTTTACGTAAAAGTAACAGCTAATACTAGTAGCTGCTCCTGACAAGTCTTGTTTCGTTCCATATTATGATGAGGGGAACTCTCAGGAGAAACCCCCCCCCCCCCTTGTGATGGACTTAGCAATTGTGATAGTTGTGTCGGTAGGGTTCATAACACCTCCTTTCTACACTATTCCGTTCGTGTTAGTATTATGTGTGTGTGTGTCCACCTACCATGAAACCTCCTTGTTAGCCTACAATAGAAAATTAATGGTGTTGACTTCAATCAACAGAAGGCTAATAGCAGTAATGTTTCAAGTACATGGCAGATGTCATAGGCACGTGCTGAGAATTTATCTTTGTAGCCCTGACGCGATCAGCTTATTCAAATTTTGTTTCAAGATGGTGCGTGACAACCCTTTGCCCTCAAAGAAAGTGCACACATTAGCCATTGTTGGAACACAACCACTGTAGACTGCGATGTTTGTTGTGCAGTCAGGTGCCTACCCCGCTCCTGGAAAGTCGAATGTCAGTCTGTTTCATTACGTTGTCAGATGTCACTGTAAAATCGTGAGGCACGAAGGGCTCATCGAGTCGATCACCTTCGATCCTCTTTTCGCGTTGTGGGATGTGCTGGTGGGATCCCGGGAATGGATGGGTCGTGTGACATGCAATGATTATCGTCCAATCAACTGCCTGCTGATAACGGCAAACGCAAGTGTGCGTGTCGCGTCACTGAGCCGCATTGTCATCGCTGTTACCACTCCTCGCAGCTCCGAGGCTGTGGGTGGTCTTGTCAACTCCTTTCGGTTTTCCTTCTCTTATGGTCCGTTTGAAGAGACTAGACTTTAGCAAACAAGATTCGAATGCACTGGTGTTCTAAACTGTCTGCGTACTCGTATGACGTTGTTATCATGGGATACGCAGTACATGTAAACCATCATGTACATGGTGGTTTGAAGGCTAACAAGAAGCTTGTCAGCGACATTTCGTATTCTGTTACAGATCACTGTATGGCATTGGTGGGGAACATTAATAATTAAGTTAATCGAATTACATGATTGTAACAATGATCTGTGTATCCATGACAGACTACATCGCGATTGTGCAAGGTTTAATGCTCGACCATGATTTCCATGTAAAGTTAAAGCGAATGTCGCGTGCGATCAACAGCAAAGGTGCAGTGATACAGATAATGTAGCGAACCTAGAGATTAGTGTAATGGCAAGAGGGGCTTACATGTATACTCTTGCTAATGGGCGTAGTCTGAGTCTAAGATGTAAGTACGTCTACATGTACATGCAAATGGATGCAATTTTTTAAATGTTGGGTAGTACATTATGACAATAATTATTGATCTG